AGAGTCCACTGCCGGAGGCGACTTAACACAGAGCCTCCTCGTTCCCCAAAAATATTTTAGTTTACCCTCCGCGGATCTTCCCCTCCAACCGAAAACGGGGCGATCTGTTTACCCCCACGAGACGTCTCACAAATTCTACATCTTTATGGAAGAGGAAGAAGAGAAGAAGAAGAAAAAAAAGGGAGAAGTTATACACCCTTTATAGAAGAGGAGGAAGAAGTAAAGGGAGAAATTCTACAATCTTTATAGAAGAGGAAGAAGAAGAAGAAGAAAAAAAGAGAAATATACACCTTTATAGAAGAGGAGGAAGAAGAAGAAAGGGAGAAGAGATTATACACCTTCAACGAAGCAGAAGAAGAAGAAAAGCGAGAAATTCTACATCTTTATATAAGAGGAAGAAGAAGTAAAAGGAGAAATTCTGCACCTTTATAGAAGAGGAAGAAGAAGAAAAAGGAGAAATTACACACCTTCAAAGAAGAAGAAGAAAAGGGAGAAATTCTACACCTTTATAGAAGAGGAAGAGGAAGAAGAAGAAAAGGGAGAAATTCTACACCTTTATAGAAGAGGAGGAAGAAGAAGAAAAGCGAGAAATTATACCCCTCAATAGAAGAGGAAGAAGCACAAGAAAAGGGAGAATTATACACCTTTATAGAAGAGGAAGAAGAAGAAGGAGAAAAAAAGGGAGAAATTATACACCTTTATAGAAGAGAAGAAGAAGAAGGAGAAAAAAGGGAGAAATTATACCCTTTATAGAGAAGAAGTAGAAGAAAAAGGGAGAAATTACACACCTTTATAGAAGAGGAGGAAGAAGAAGAAGAAGCAGAAATTATACACCTTTACAGAAGAGGAAGGAGAAGAAGAAGACGAAGAAGAGGAAGAGGCAAACACGTGCAGCTACCCTTCACATCCCTTGAGAAAATAAAATGGATACTAAAACTAAAAAGCAAACATAATGGTCTGGGGTACATTGCAAAGAAAGAAAGAAAGAAAGAAAAAGAAAAAAAAAAATATATAATATAATATAATAATGATAATAATAATAATAATAATAATAATAAAATAAGCCATCAAAGAAAGAAAGAAAACGGTGAAACAAAAAAAAACAAAAAAAATAAAAAAACGAAAAACAAAATCTAAAAGAAAAAAAACAAAAAAGAAAAAAAAAAAACAACACATATTAAAGAAATAAAAAAAAAAACACCAAAAAGAAAGAAAAAAAAAACGAAAAAACAAAATCTATGAGTGTGTGGCGAATCTTCTCCGTCATTCGCCACATTTTTCTTTAAACATTTACGATTCCCTCGCTTGTCGTGCGAGTGACTGCCCAAGCGCCCCTTCTCGGCAGATTCTTAGACAGTCGCGCATCTTTCTTATCTCTCAGAAACGCTCATCCGACAGAAGTGGTGATAACAGTGATAACAGTAAGCATGAAATGATGATAATGATAACTGCGCTAATGATAAGCGTTGACCATGTTGACAATGACGCTGAACAAGCTTACCTCCCCACCCCACCCCCCAAAAAAGATGCATAAACCCCTCTCAAGAAAAAAAGATGCATAAAAAGACAAAAAAAAAAAAAAAAAAAAAAAATTGCCTCAAAAAGAAAGAAAGAAAAGAAGAAAAAAGGGAAGAAATTATACACCTTCAAAGACGAAGAAGAAGAAGGAGAAGAGGAAAACACGGGCAGCTACCCTACACATCCCTTGAGAATAAAAGATGGATACTAAACTAGAATAATGGTCTGGGTACAGTGAACAAAGAAGGGAAAAAAATACACAATCAGAGAAAGAAAGAAAACGGTGAACAAAGAAAAACCAAACAAAACAAGAAAGAATGAAAAAACGAAAAATAAAAATCTAAAAGAAAAAAAAAAGAATAAAGAAAACGAAAAACAAAAATCTAAAAGAAAAAACAAGAAAAAAAGAAAAACAAAAATCTAAAAGAAAAAAAAACAAGAATAAAGAAAACGAAAAACAAAAATAAAAAAAAACAAGAAAACAAAATCTAAAAGAAAAAAAAAGAAAACAAAAATCTAAAGAAATAAAGAAAAAAAACAAAAATCTAAAAAAAAAAACAAGAATGAAAAAAAAACGAAAAACAAAAATCTAAAAAACAAACAAACATAAAAACGAAAAAAATAAATAAAAATTATGAGTGTGGCGAATCTTCTCCGTCATTCGCCACATTTTCTTTAAACATTTACGATTCCCTCGCTTCTCGTGCGAGTGACTGCCCAAGCGCCCCTTCTCGGCAGATTCTTAGACAGTCGCGCATCTTTCTTATCTCTCAGAAGCGCTCATCCGACAGAAGTGGTGATAACAGTGATAACAGTAAGCATGACATGATGATAATGAAACTGTGCTAATGATAAGCGTGACCATGTTGACAATGACGATGAACAAGCTTACCTCCCCCCCCACTCCCCCAAAAAAGATGCATAAACCCCCCTCAAGAAAAAAAGATGCATAAAAAGACAAAAAAAAAAAAAAAAAAAAAAA